GACATACAAGAGCTGGGGGTGCAGGCCAGAGGTGTGGGGGGTGAGAGGATTCATCAGAGACAGGGTGGGGAACAGAACAGGCAGATCCACTGAAATCCACTGCTGAGGGAGCAGCGGGGAGACAGGAGAGGTCTGCTGTGCCCCGTGGGTTGCTCCCTGCCCAGGGATCCGACTCGTGCTGCAGAGCTGCGGACAGCTTCATAGGATGTGTCTTAACCCCTTGTGCCACCCGGTTCTCTTTATTTTTCACATTTGAGAATTTTTTCCCCATCCTTTCAATTTTGTTACTTTTCAACATGTAGGGCACAAAGGCATAATGATGCCAAAAAAAAAAAAAAAGCTCAGAGACGTGTTGCTTCCTCCTGCCAGCCTTATTTTACACTCTCACCCCTTCCTTCCCGTTCCTAGTCACCCGCTTAGGTGACCAGTCTCACTAGTTTTTGATAGCTTTTCCTCATGTCTCCTTTCACACAAATAAGCAGACATGTATATATTTTTATTTTTTTCTTTTCTATGTAAAAGGTAGAAATACTATAAATCTCTTTTGTCTTTAAATATTAAAAACGTAATAGGGCCTCCCCCGTGGTGCAGCGGTTGAGCGCTGGGTTGCGAAGCTCCCCGCAGCCTCAGCAGCGCCAGTTCGATCCCTAGCCGCCGGGTGAGGGTCCCACATGGCACACAGACCTCTCCTGCCGCCCGCTGCTCCCCTCAGCCTGTCTGTTCTACTCTCCACTCTGGCTCTGGTGAATTCTCTCACCCTCCCGCACCTCTGACTGTACCCAGTGCTTATATAAATAAATAAATAAATAAACAAATAAATAAATAAAACTTAAAAAAAAAAACCTTAATATATCTTAGCAATCCCTGTATGTCGGTTCACGTAGAACTTCTCTTTAACTGTACGGTATTTTGTGTGGATGCACTATTCTTTGTGTGAACATCTTTTATCTCCAAGTGTTTCAGCAGTTTCCATTGTTTTGCAATTTTGAACAATGCTGCAGTGAATAACTTTGTGTATATTTATTCTTGTATTATTGGAGCTATATCTTCAGGGTAAATTCCAGGTAAGGGATTTTGGTAAAGAGATAAATATGTAGTTTTCTTTGATATTGCCAAAGTCCTTCCCAAAAGGCTGTATCAGTTTGCATTCCCACTAGCTACTATAAAAGCTGTTCTTTCCCTGTGGTCTTGCCAACAACATGGGGTCATGCATCTTGATTTTTGCCAGTCTGGTAAGTGAAAAATGATTTCTCAGGGTAATTAAAATTAGTACAAGTTGAATATTTTTTCACATGGCTAAGGACCATTTTTATAATTTTATTTTGACAAAGTTGTTCTTTTCATGTTTTGTGTCTACTTTTGTCTCGTTGCCATTTTTCTTTCTTTTTTAAAAGTTTTTATTTATTTATTAATACAAGAACTGGGGTACAGGCCAGAGGTGCGGGGGAGGGAAGTGAGAGGAGTCACCAGAGACAGAGTGGGGAGCAGAACAGGCAGACTGAGTGAAATAATCTGCTGAGGGGAGCAGCGGCGAGTCAGGCAAGGTCTGCTGCGCCATGTGGGTCACTCCCTGGCCGGGGATTGAACTCATGCTGCAGTGGCTGCGGATAGCTTTACAGGTTGTGTCCTAACCCCTTGCGCCACCAGGGAGGCCCTCATTGCCATTTTTCTGAGTCCTTTTTATATTAGAGATAGCAACCATTTATCCATGATATATGGCAAATATTTTTTCCCCAGTTTTTCATTTGTCCTTTGACCTTATGGTGATTTTTTTTTTGCCATATTCAATTTTATTTCTACTTGGCCAGTCCTTTTTTTTTGTCAAACTTTCATTGCCTCTGAATTTTGAGTCATATTACAAAATCTTCTCCTACACCCTAGTCTTACTTCATTTTTAAATCTTAGTCCTCTGAACCTCCTGGAGTTGATTTGTGTGTGGTGCTGTTGCAGAAATAAACTCTAGCTTTTACCCAGGCAGAGGAAGAACAAGCAGTACTTCAGGAATGGTGAGGTCAGCAGACGATCTATTACTCATACATGAGGTCCCAGACTTGGGTACCCCCTAAGGTCTGAGCCCTGGTTTAAAGACCAAGCATTCCTTTTAAACACAGCTGTGTCCATATCTGTTACATGGATAGCATCTTTTTATTTATTTATTTGTTTGTTTATTTATTTATTTATTTATTTATTTATTTATTTATTTATTTATTTATACAATAACCGGGGTTCAGGCCAGATCCACAGGAGGTTGAGAGGATACACCAGAGACAGAGCGGGGAACAGAACAGGCAGACTGACTGAAATCCACTGCTGAGGGGAGCAGCAGGCGCGACAAGAGAGGTCTGCCGCGCCATGTGGGACCCTCGCCGGCCTGCAGGGAACAAACCGGTACTGCAGAGGCTGCAGACAGCTCTACAGCGCAGTGCTCAACTGCCTGCGCCACCAGGGGAGGCCCTGGATAGCATTGTTTTTCAGCAGGCACAACCATTTGTGGCAAAGTCCCCAGACAAGGGGCAAGGCAAGGGGGGAAAGATGCAGGCATTCGGGGATGGCCTTGGAGAGAGGGACCAGCTGGTTGGCTGCCCAACCTTGTAGAGAAGAGTGCTGAGGCCCTGGCCATGAATCTTGGAAGGGCAGGAGCTGTAAGTAAGCAAACTTGTTAATGATGCCTGCACTGGAGTGTTCACTGCACCTGGGCTGGAAGTTCTGCTGGAATCTTTATTATATTCATTTGCTCAATAATATATTTTTGCATCAGGGCAAGTTATAGATCTAGTTTGATCTCTTTCCAACGGCTTGCTGGTTGTCTGGGCACCGCTGGTCACGAAGTCTGCTTTGACTCAGGGATTTGGCAGGTACCTGGGTGGATGTTACAATTTTCCGTTCCATTCTGCTGCTTGTCTGTCTATTCATACAGCTGCACCCCATTGTCGTAATAATAGACCTTGCAGTACACTTTACCATAAACTCTTCCATCACCTGCATGTAGATCCTTTTATGCCTCTCGTTGTTCCAGCTCTTTTGTCTGGTAATCAGAATAGAGTTAACCCAAGCGTTTATTCCACATTAGACCCAAATATATGAAGCTCAGCTGTTCGCTTGGGTAGCCTGAGGATGTGCATTTGGAGGTCCTCTATTGATAGTGTGTAATTACAGGTATAGTAAGGTAGCAGGATACAAAATTGCTATGCAAAAATCAGTAGTCTTCCTAAACATAAACAGTAAGGGTGGGGAGGCTGTAGCTACAGAGAACACATTAGCAGAATAGCAACCAGATAGCAACAAAGCAAGAAGTTGAATTAGGAGTGCTCCGAAGCTGTTGGAGGAAACACTTCTGCTCAGTGGAAGATCTGGAATTCACACGAAGTCTGTGTAAAGGTAGATTTGAACAAGCAGTGAGTCATCTTTTATTCTCGGAAAGGATGACTCAGTGCAGTATATTTTCCCCCGGTAAATTTATAAAGGTAATGAAATTCCAATAAAACATCAAAATATTTTTTTTTTTCTAGATCCTAAACAGGTACTAGAATTCATCACGGAAGAATGAACATGTCAGGCCTGCTGGAAGAATAGGTGGGAAACCCTGACAAAGAATAGCGGGGCCTGTGGAAACCGGGCGCTGTGATGCTGCCACCTGCCTCCAAGAACAGGCACTGCGCCCCTTTCGAGGCGAGCAAATCCAGCCCAGCGGGTGTTAATCAGCTTTGACCCTTATTTTGTTCAGTATATTTTTAAGTTCTTCTGCGCTTCAGAGTCCAACGCCTGGAGACAGAACTCAAAGAGAGGAGGTGAACTGAAACACCTTCGACTTAGCTTAAATTCTCACCGTGGGGTTTTGAGAACTGCCGATTCATGGCATGACAGAAAAATGCAAGAGAATGGCACAGCAGTCCTTGCTGCCTCAGGCTCTTCATACGCAGCCGTGTGAGCATCCCGGTGAGGGGCATGCCGGGAACATCACTTCACATCGTGGGGAACAGTTGCCCAAGGAAATGTTAAAGGGTGATTTTTAAAAGGTAAAATTGTGACCTTTCACGCGAGTCTAACATGAACACATGTCAAAGATCTGACTTATTTCATTAACTAGGGAAGAAACTAGTAAGATGTGGAAACTGGCTCAAGGAGAACGCAAAGGACAGACACACCCGGGCAGGCAGAGCGTTTGCTCTCAGGGATGACGCTGGTCACTGGCACAGGAACGACTTTTGCATCTTCATGGTACAAAATATATTTGCGTGTCTATGGACCAGAATCACTTTTTTTAAAGATTTATTTATTTATAGAAGAACTGGGGTGTAGGCCAGATGTGCGGGAGGGTGGGAGGATTCACCAGAGCCAGAGTGGGGAACAGAACAGGCAGACCGACGAAGTACACTGCTGAGGGGAGCAGCGGGTGTGACAGGAGAGGTCTGCTCACCATGTGGGATTCTCAGTATTGAACCAGGATCGAACCCGCGCTGCAGAGGCTGTGGACAGCTTCACAGTGCGGCGCTCAACCGCCCGCACCACCAGGGAGGCCCGGACCAGAGTCATTTTAATTATCAGTTTTCTACAACTCAGGGAATCGTAAATATTTCCAAGACAAGGAAAGGTGCAGATCCTTTCAGAATCAAATAACCCCTGGAAGGGCCCTCTAGACAATCTAGAGTGGAGTAAGTCACGTCTTTAAGATTTCACAGTTGCTACGTAGAAGGTCTGGAATTCAAACCAAATCTGTCTCCACAGGCTCAGGCTCCTTCTCTGTGCAGGTGGCTGTGGATGGTGAAGGGACGTTCTCCACAGATGTGCGGTGCTGAGCGCTTGTCACACATTCCGTTGAGATTACTTGGTCTGAGGAACAGAGTCCCCTGCATGGACCAGAGCCTGCTGCGGCTTCCCAAGGCCTCCAACACCTCAGCCATCATTTGCTGCCTTGGGCCCACCATCGCCCTCTGCACAAGGGTCCCTCAGAGTCTGGAGGGGCTTGGCGCCTGCCCCAGCCCCCAGCAAATGGCAGAAGAGTCTCGAGACTCCCCCGACCCTTGTGCCTTGGGACAGCGACGAGGCCATTATAGCTCAGGCCCCACTCAGCTCTTGGGCTTGGGGGTCACGGGACGCTGGTACAGCCGGATGATACCCTCGTCGTGTAGCCGCTTCCAGACTTTTTTCTCCAGTGCAAAGTCATGGTTGATGTAAAAGACAGTTTTCTTCCACGTCTTGTCATAGTAGTGATCAGAGAAGCGCTCGTGGCCCTCAGTGATGAAGCCGTAGGCGCTCACCTGTGTGAAAACGGAGTTGTTGCTGCTTCCCAGGCTTCTTCTCATGGACTCAGAATGCTGTGTGTGTGTGGGGGCTTGGGGGTATGGGCCTTTATCATGGTTCCACCCCTGGGGTCTGGGCGCAGCCCCCCTAGATGTACTTGCACACATGTATGCACCCACACCGGCTCCCCACGCCCCAGATGCATGCCCTGCCCAGCCATCGGCCCGTGCTGAAGAGGCCCAGAACCACCCGGAGCTGTTCCTCCAGGTGTTCCTGCTCCGGGCGCAGAGCCTCACCTGGTCGCAGAGCTGGAGGGCGGTGAGCAGCAGGAGGGCGCCCGTGGTGGGGCGGTATATCCTCCAGCGGGCAGTGCTCAGGGTGTTGGACCTCAGGAACCTGCGAAGCCCCAGGGCCCCACTGTCAGGAAGCTGCGAGGCCGAGAGGGGCCTGGCCCCGCCGCTGCCCACGCTCACTGCTCACCTGTTCTTCATGTAGCGGAGCAAGTCCGGGTGCGGCAGCAGGTACCTGTCCAGCTGCAGGTCTTTTGGGAAAACGTCCCGGGGATTGCGGCTGTGGGCAGGAGTGGATCAGTCAGGAGCGGCCTCCCCTCATCCGGCGGGTGCCCATCCCCTCCGCTCCAGGTGATGCCAAGGCCGGCCCGCCCTATCCGCCCTTCACCACGGCTCACGGAGCTCGGCGGTGGTGGTGGGGGTGGGTACCTGAACCAGAAAAGACTCTTTTTCTTCAGGGGCTCATTCAGGAGAAATGCTTCCAGCCAGTCGAAGTCCCGGGAACCTTCCAGGAAGTGCAGGTAGCGGACGTCCTGAGGACGAGGACAGTGATGCCTCGGGAGAACTGCCCCAGGCCCCTGGGCTGGGCCGCCTGGCCCTGGCTCTGCGCGGCCCCTTGCTCTCCTCGGGCCTCCTCTGCCTCACCTCCCCGCTCTGACCTCTCTGCGCACAGAGCCTGCGTTACACGCGGCCTGCGGCCCGGCGCTCCTCACCTGGCCTGTGCAGGTGGCCGCCCGCCCTCGCTGCTCACCTTCCCCATAGGCACGTGCTTGAAACCCCGGCTGCCCAGGATGAGCAGCGACTGGGTCAGGGAGAAGGCGGTAAAGCCGTAGAAGGACGTCCGCGTGCCCACATCCTGCTCGTAGTCCTTGATGACGGCCCCGCTCAGCCTGCGCAGAGACAGCAGCGGACGGGAGGGTGAGCGCAGGGGCGCTGCGTGGAGGCCGGTGGGGAGGAGGGGACGGTCATATATGACGGTCCTCTGGAGACCCCGGGCACCCCCTCTTCCCAGACGGGGCAGGGACTGCCCCCTGCAGAGCGCTCTAGGGTGGGGGGGCCGCCCCTGCAGGGCCGAGGCGGCGTGGGGCCCACTCACCGGAACACGTAGTCGTGGCTGTCGATCTCCTGGCCCTTGCGCGAGTTGTTGAGGATCCCCCCGTTGCCCACCACGGCACAGGTGGCGCAGCGGGAGCCCCCGGGGCGCAGGCCGGCCAGGAGCAGCTGCTGCTGCGGCACCCGGGGGAAATGCGCCACCACGTCCCGCACCACTGGAACAGAGCGGGGCCCTCAGGAGTCGGCCGCATGCCCCAGGCCCGGGGCCCAGGGAAGCGGCGCCAGAGGCAACCATCTGGTGGCTCTGCCTCCATGCCCGGCCTGACACCCCGCGCTGGGCCACGACTCACCGGAGTAGTTGAGCTCCATGAAGCCAAAGGGCGGTGCGAAGTGCTCCAGGCGGTCCCATTCGCTCTGGTTGAAGCGACTCGAATCCAAAAAGAGGGTGAGGTTGGGCAGGAAGAGGCTCCGGAGCCAGGGGGACCGGGCGGCCTTCACCTTCACCGAGTCAGGGCAGGTCTGCAGGCGGGAGGACAGGTCAGGCAGGGTGAGGCGGGGAAGGGGCTCGGGCGGGCCTCAGAGAGGGGCCTGGCGGCTGGGAAGGCGCCACCTCTGCCACCCCACACAGTGGGCACAGTTAGCACCTGGCAGAGGCTGCTTGCCCTGGAGCAAGGCAGGGGCTGGGCTCGGGCTTTGGGGGGGTGTCCAGGGCAGGGAGGCGCAGTGGGCTGCGACAAGCTCACCGTCTGGAGGCTCCCATTGTCCACGCTGTACTCGTCCTCGAAGTCCCACTCGGGCTGAGACTTGAAGTTGGTGGCCTGCAGTCTCTGGGCCTGCTGCGTGGTGGGGCCCTGGGGCCGGGCGGAGCGCGGGGGCGTCTGGGCCGTCTTCCTGGGCGGAACAGCTGCTGTGCTCACACCTTTCGGTCCCCTCTGTGTTGACCTTGCTCTGGGGGTGGTGGGCACCTGCCGTCCTGGAGTGGGCGTCCCTGCTCGGGTGGTCGCTTTGCCCTGAGGCTTTGCTGACACTGTCCTTGTGGCCGTTGGCCTCTCAGTGAGGCGTCCCCTGCCTTTGGTTGTCCTCGAGTCCAGGCTTGTCCTGTGAGAGACTGTCCCCTGATCTTGACTTCTCGGTGACAGCCTGCTGCCCACGGTCTCCGTCCTCTGCTGACTCCTCGGTGACACCGTCCTCGCTGTGCTGGGTGCCCGGCTCTGCTCCTTGGTGGCCGCCCGGCCGCCCTCTGCCCTCCTGCTCTCTGCAGTGGTGTGGGCTGTGGCCGTAGTAGGCTGTGTGTCCAGCGAGCTGTTTCCTGGTGGAGATGCTCCACGGGCAGGTGTGTCCCTTCCTGTCGTGGCTGCCTGTGGAGTAGACGTCTGCGGGGGCTCGACATGGTGAGGCCTAGGAACAGATCATTTTGGATGGAAGCTGAACATGGTAGAAACTTCAGAAGCATAACTTGTATTTACTCTTTAAAATATTTTATCATTAGTTATTGTTTGTCACTACTAGCGTTCATCCTCGTGCCTCAGGGGGCCTGCAGACCAGTCTCCAGAGCTGGGAGGAGCAGGCCGTGCACTGCCAGTGGGTCTGGAGACTTACCTCTGGCCAGTGAAGAGGCAAAGGGCCCGGGGTGCCAGGACTGGCCGCTGTGGCTGTTCTGGTGAATTCTAAGAATGAGTTTGTGTGATCCCAGTGCTGTCACCTAACAGCTGTGTGGTTCGACTGACCTTTTTATTTTTTCAAATGCAGCGCAGGCATCAAAGATGACCTATTCACAAGGAAACGGGGAGCTGCGTTCCTGTCAGGGCTGTGGCTGCCAAATCTTGATTTTGTAATAACCACCTTAAAGATTTACTGCAAACACTCCCCTGCATTAAATGCCACTTAAAAACAAACTTTCGCCTTTCAGCACTGCTGGGAGAATGTACATCCTCTGCAAATATTTGTCGAGAGATCTAGGATATTTGCACGTCTCATGTTAGGTGCAGAAGGTCACGGATGAGAGGCTCGCTTCCCAGCCTGGGGCAAGAGGCACTCCCGGACGGGCCAGGTGGGCAGTCACCACACTAACACGCGAGGCCGGAGGTGCGAGCTCAGTGGGCACGAAGGAAGGGGCTCCGTCCCCACCCCCACCAACATGGCAGTGAGGAGGGCTTCCCCCGGAGCTTCCCTCCAGAGAGGGTGGGAAGTGAGGAGGATTCAGCTGCGAATCCTGGGGACTAGAGGTTGCTGGAATTGTGGAGTCGACCCCAGATTGGTAGGGTGGGAGTGTGTAGAAGAGGGGGGGTCAGTGGAGGGGGCCAGGAGCCCGTCCCACACAGCAGGGCAGGGCAGGTTTTATTTGCATTCTCTGTCAGATCAATGAGCTTAGACAGTATCTTCCTGTCCAGGCGGAGCTGCTGCATTTCAAGCAGGAGGTGGGGAGGGATTGGGGAGAGCAGGCAGGCCGACTCCGTGGGGGATGCGTTTCCCAGCAGTGGGAGAAGACAGGGCCGGGTGGCTAGTCAAGGCTTTTGGCTGAGGGATATTTATTTTCTTCCTAATTTCACTCTTACATGTGGCCATCAGAAGGATCAGTTTCAGCAAATTAATATCAGGTGTGTCCGCTGCTGTGCTTGTCTTTCTAGCTGGACTTCAAGGTGGGGTCTCTGTTTATATAGGTGTTTTTTTCGGGGGTGGGCTTCTGGGAATTTTGGGAAAAAGAATCTTCCTCTCTAGGGACCTCGCCGTCACTCAGGTGGGTTGCCAGGTGTCCTCTACTCCTGTGTTACCTGGCGTCCTGCCTCATCTCGGTTGCTCTTGTTCCAAGTTCCCTTGGTTTCTACCGTCTTCTGCAAAGCCATCTGGGTCAGGCTTACTGAGGCCACGTGAGGAGGAGAAAGAGCTCAGTGAGGATGAGGTGCTTCTGCAGATTAGCTGTTGGCCTCCCTGACCCTCAGTTTTTCTTCTCTGGAAAGTGGCCCGCCGCGTTGTGCAGCAGCGGACACGCGTCTGCAGCGCCGGCGCGGAACACACTCAGCTCTCCCTCCTCTGAGGGGCCCCTTCTCGGTCCCTCTTGATTTATGTGGGCAAGGTGGAGATCTGCTCGGCCTGGCCTCGGCCTCTCGTTGCTGCTTTGATTTCAACCCAGTCATTGTTATTCATTCTTTTACGCAGCAAATATTTACAAGCACCTCTTCTGGACACCCTGTTCGTTACTGGGTGCTCAGCCATGAACCTAACCAGATACGACGCTCCCCTGCCGTGGGGCCCAAGACATATCATCCCACACATAAATGCCAGCTTCTAACTAGGAGATGTGCTGGGAGCCGGAGGCCAGAGGAGTTCCCCACCCCCAGCTCAACTCTTAGATTATAAACTTCAAGAAGGAAGAAACTACTTTCTGCAGCCCGGACCACTGAGCTTATCACGGTGCCACTTTTCGTGGGGCTCGAGAACATTCTGGCCATAAGGAAATGGATTTAAACAAAAGTGGCGTTGAGGGCCTTCCCGGGGGCGCAGCGGTTGAGCGCTGGGTTGCGAAGCTGCCCAAAGCCTCTGAAGCGCCGGTTCAATCCCCGGCTGCTCCCCGGCCACCGGAGGAGGGTCCCACATGGCGCGCAGACCTCTCCTGCCGCCCGCTGCTCCCCTCAGCAGTGTACTTCGGTCCTTCTGCCTGCTCTGCTCCCCGCTCTGGCTCTGGTGAATTCTCTCACCCTCCTGCGCTCCTGACTGTACCCAGTGCATGTATAAACAAACAAACAAATAAATAAATCTTAAAAAAAAAAAAAAGTGGCGTTGAATTTGGGATAGGTTTGTATGGAGAACATCCCACGGAGCAAATGTTTATTGTGGGCCTTCCCTTGCATGGTGCCCTGTGTCCCAGGACTACAGTTCTGAACAAGGCACAGGCCGCGGGCCACAGAAGTCATTGTTGTTAAAGGCAGGGGACAAAGGAGACCTTTCATCCCTGCCTCCCGAGCTGGGGTTTCATCATCCTGGGACTCACCACGTTTCCTGCCTTGCTTCCGGTGTCTGGGAGGAGCCTCTGTGCTGACCTTGACACTGAGCAAGGACTCAGATTCTCTGAGGGTTCTAGCAAAAGGCTGGCCGTGGGGTCCTTGCTTCATGGGGTCCTTCCCTCTTGGAACACACACATTTTGAACTGGCCTTAGGTAGCAAACGCCTCTGCCTTTGTTGTATGACTCAGTAGAGTAAATTGAATGTGAGAGGTTTAGGGCCGGAAAGGAGTGATTGGGTCCTGGGCTGCAAGAACACCTCTCAATGCAGAGTGGAAAACCCGAGTTAGTCCAGAACGTCCTCCTGGCTGAGCTGTGTGTCACCTTTGTTTAGTAGAAACGCTGAGTGCCGCGTGGGGGTGAGACTCGCTTTTCTTCTCTTTAATCTGAGGATTGAGCTTAAACTCCAGGCGTGTGCGTGCACACCCCTGGGGAAAGCAAAACTTAAGTGTTTACTGTTTAGGAAGCAGCTCTCGCCACCCAGCTGTAACTCTTAGATTCCTCTCCACCTCAAGAGGCCTGTGGCATTTTCCCTGCCAAACTGCCAGGACCGTAACACTGCCAGGACTAGGGAGATGTTGAGACGGAGTGGTCTTTCACATCACCCACCTCAAACCTCAGCGTGGGCCTGGCCCCCGCTGTCTGGGCCAAGTCAGCTCTGATGTGATCCGGCCCCACAGCCTGCCTAGGGCGCGAGCGGTGCCCTGCCCTGCCCGCTGCTCCGCGCCACACATCCGCCGCTCGGGGTGACCGGAAGTCACAGCCCAGGTGGTGACAAAGTGGCATGAGTAAGTTTCAGGTCCATTCCCTATAATTAGCTACACCTGTGGCCGCTGGGGACATGCGTGCGTACACAGGCCTCTGCTTAAGCTCCCGCCAGTGAGCGAACTCTCAGATGCGTGCCAGCCTCCGTGCCCTGCCTGCGTCTCATCCAGGTGCCGTGACCCACACCCGGGGCAGACTGGGTGGGGGCGGGAGTACTTTTATCTATTAAGGGCCTCTGATTCAGAGGTACAGACAATCAATCCTGGGTCCCAGCCAAGCAAAAAGCAATTTAATGTCATCATTCTAATCTATTTGGGAGGTAAAATATAAAAGGCAGCACTTTAGAAACTAAATTGGCAGGAAGCCTATCGCTTTACTCAATAAATGAAACAAGTGAAAATTATCTGGCGTCCTCTTCTCTGTAAAATCTTAAATACACGTTACTAAGGGAAACCTGGAAACAGAAAAGGGGCAGAAGGTCCAAAGTCCTTTACTCCAGCTTCGGGCCTCTGTCGGCGGGAGAGCTCTGTTCGCTGGAATTCAGCACAAGAAATAACACGGGGAGCCGTGAGTGGACAGCATGCTGGGAGGGTTGTTCCAACTGAAATGTGGCAATGAACCCCTAATCAAAGGTCAATACAAGCAGGAGGAGCGGAAGACTCTTATCAAGGAGACGTGAAGAGCTCAAAAGCTCCCTTTGATTCCCTCAATAGCTCTGGCCTCCACTGCCCTGTGGTAAGGACTCTGGAAGCATGTCTAGGCGAGGTGTGCCTCCCGGGGGAGTGCTGGTCACGCATGGGGAGCAGCCGCGGGAGTGGGGGAGCAAGCTGGGCCAGTCTCCCGAAAGGTGACAGGAGGGACAGCATTCTGGGGTATTGTGGGTGTCACGATCTGTGACTTGACCTCTTTTGAACTCCACGGCTGTTGTAAGGGTCAGGACTGGTCACGGTGCAGGTTTTCTGATCCCGGCTTCTGCTTCTTTGCTTCTCTCATCGGCTTCTTTCTCAGCTTCTGCTGGCGTCCCCGTGACGCCACCCTTAAAAGCCCAGTCTTAGCTTAGCTGAATCCCATCTACTTATGCCCACACCCTATTCCAGGTGCCCGCCATCAGGCATGCATTCAGGACCGCAAGGATCCATCATCTATCCTGGTGGCGGGAGGGCAGAAAAGCCTGACATTTTCTTTACCCTACAGCTGTCTTCAAGAGTTCAACTTGAATCCAAGAAGAAACTTCTTGGCACTTGGCAAATGGGCAACAAAGCAAACTGGGTGGCAAGTAGTTGTGTCTCGCCCCTTAATTGGCCGGCCACGCCATCCCGGGCATGTCCCAGAACACTTTGGACCCTGAAGTGTAAATGCTGTATCAGGCTTTTCTGCTCTCCTGCCATTAGCATCTGTGACCGGCACCTGTAGTCTTGCCCGCGCGCCTGTAATGATGGGCACGTGGGCCGGAGTGCGTGTAAGTGCGGACACCTGTGCCCAGGGACGAGGTCCATAAGGGCGGCGTCACTCAGGTGGGAGGACGGAGAGAAGGCAGCGGAGGACCGAGAGAGCTGCCTGCCCTGGCTCAGCCTTACAGGCCTGGAAAAATCTGACGGCTCCAAAATGATCTTTCCATCGTGAGAACTGATGAACCTACCTGGCCTGGGCTGGTTGCAAAACAGGCCCCCGTTTTCTCATCCATTAATGGGAATCTCAATACATGTCTCACAAAACTTGTGAGGATTGTCAAGCCGGTATATAAAAGTGTAGGTTGAGTGAAAAATTATCAGGGTTTTCCGTCCTCCTGCCATTAGCATTAATGAGAGATCCCTGTGGTCCTACATGCATGCCTGATGGCGGCACCTGGAGCAGGGTGTGGGCATGCATAGGTGGGCACACCTGGGCAGAGACTGGGCTTATAAGGGTAGCGTCACGGGGATGCCAGTAGAGCAAAAGAATGAGAGCAGCAGAACAAGAACAGAGCCAGCAAATGAGAAGCAGAGACCATGAGAGAAGGCCAGAGAGCCCAGAAAGAATGAAGATTCACTGGGGGCCGGGAGGCCTGCCAGACTCCCGCCCCCCCACCCTGCCCTGCACCCCTGCCGGCCATCGTATATCTGGGTGCTGCACTACAAATGGTGTAAAAAGTTCCATAAAAGCCTGAAAAGCCACCGAGGGCTCCGGGACTCTGGATCATAGAGATCCTGCTCTGGGCCTTTCTGCCACTACAAAGAGGCACTTTGAAAAATATATGTTCTACAAACACGGGCTGGCCGCGTCAGTCAGGCTTGGTGACACAGTCTCAGCCCCCTGTGGGCTCCTGTGCTCAGAGGGCAGGGACATCCGAACCCCTTTGCTGTGTCTAATGCCCCAACACCTCCCCCTGTACGGTATTTGGGGACGTTGTCTCACTATTACCCCCCTTACCGTGGAAGCACCTGCCCCTCGCCGCCCACCACGGGCCCCAAGCTGGGAACTGCTGCTCTGCGAGGCCTGCCCCAGCTCCTAGCCCTGGAGCAAGGAGACTCGGTGAAATGCATAAAACGTTTTGAAGAAGGACTTTTCTACTTCTCGCCACCACTGTCCCCTCCCTGGGAAGGTTTACTCTGGGCGGGAGAGGAGGTAGAAGAGGGAGAGAAGGGGTCGCTGGGTCCCGAGGAACCCTGCTTCCTGGTAGAGCCCTGAGGCGCTAAAAAAAAAAGACCCTGCTTTCCGGTGATGACCTCCCCACGAGAACATGCCTCTCTCAAAGGATCTCCTTCATCCCTCTCCAGAAGAGGAGAAGAGGAAACACAAGAAGAAGCACCTGGTGCAGAGCCCCAATTCCTATTTCATGGATGTGAAATGCCCAGGATGCTATAAAATCACCACCGTCTTTAGCCACGCACAAACGGTAGTATTGTGTGTTGGCTGCTCCACTGTCCTCTGCCAGCCTACAGGAGGAAAAGCAAGGCTTACAGAAGGATGCTCCTTCAGACGGAAGCAGCACTAAAAGCACCCTGAATCAAGGTGAATGAGAAACCATCCTAATAAACAAGTTTTGGATAAAAAAAAAAAAAAAAAAAAAAGACCCTGAAGGGAAAAGGCTGCAGCAGAACCCAGGAAGAGAGGAAAGTTCTGGCAGCCAGGCGCCATGAAAGAGCCCTGGGGCGGGGGCGGGGCAGGTGCCTCGGGTGGCAGTTGGACAGCGAAGCATCAGGGGCCTCCTGCTAGGCCTTGGCACAGCTTCAGGGCCCTGAGCCTCTGCTGCCTTTCTGGGAATGGGGCAGGGGAGTAGCAATGGCTGAGATTAAGTTTGGCGGGTGAGGGCACAGAGTCATGACTCAGGAGCTTGTAAAAATAGTCGCATTTCTTACACTAAAAGAAAGAAACCGCACGTCTGGTTTATAGCTCACGCTACGTGATCCCCTCCAACACCAAAACAAGCCATAGAATCTTCCAAATTTATCCCAGACTAGAAAAGCTAAGCAGGCGGAGGCACAGAGCTGGGCTGGAGCGACACGCCGGGGCGTCACTGGGAGACTCGGCCAAAGCTTCCCCAGCTCGGCGCGCCTGGGTTGTCTTCAGATGAGCGGGACAGTCCAACAACAGGCTGGAAATCACAGAACTGTCTTTTCACTGCCCCCCTCTGCTCCCCTCCCTTCTCTCCATCCCCAAGTCCAGCCGATCTGACTTATGCTTGTCCTTCCATCTGATCTCACTGCCCCCAGCGCCTCCCTGCCCAGGGCCTCCTCGACTCCGTCCTGGACCATCGTGATGGCGCCTGTCCTGCCCCTTAAAACCACCCTCCCAACACCTACCCTCTAACCTATGAACAGAACACTCTGCATAAAGCACACATTTATTTTACTTCATAAAATAAAGTTCAAGGCCACAACTTCAGTCTTTCAGTTACAGTTGCACCGTGTCCGGGTTCGAATTGCAGCGCGTCAAGGCCGTCCCTGCCCATGAGAAACACACGGTCTGAAGGTTTATGTGGGTTGGTGACGTCACGGTGACGTGACGGGGAGGCAGAGGCCAGGGCGTTGTCAGCCTGTGTCTTGACGGGGAGCAGGGACTCTGGAGCCTGCCTGCATGTGAACGTCAGGGACCAGGTGACACCGGACAAGTGACTACCCTCATCTGGGGAAGGGCTGATGGCGCTGGCGATAATGCGGACGGCACCATCACCCTGGAGCCTTGACGGGCGCCGAGTAACCGCGACTCGCCGAGGCCATCCCTGGGCACGGCGGGCCTGTCAGCTGGCTGACTTCATCCCCAGCCAGATCCTTGATCCTGCGGCTCCCCTGCCTGCACCACTGGTTCCCCACTTGCATCCTCTGCAGCGGAGCCGCTGGCTGACATGTCGCCGGCCTTCAGGCCTCACTGCAATGCTGCGTCTCCACAGCCTCGCCCTGTCGCCCTGGCCCATGCCCCCCGCTGGGGGGACCCTCAGTTTGCTCCGCTGCCCCCACCCCATTGGGGTCCTCACGGCTGTTTCCCACTAGCTCAAGTCTGTCGCTCCAGCTCGGCCCCCTGGGTGGTGGGTGTCCCTGAGTCAGCACCGGGGAGGGTTGGGTGGCCACGGGCTGCCTCCCGACTGGGCGGCTCTGGGCTTAACTTTGAAAGTCTCGTATGCGTCATTCTTGTCAAAGGGCAAAGACACTCATCCTCAGCGAGATGGTGATGACCCGGAGCCATCCGCGGACGCTCGCGGGGCAGAGCCCAGGCTCGGCCATCTGAGACCTCGCAGCTGCGCAGACACCGCTGGCGTAAGCACCCCACAAAGCGGGAGCCCATGGCGGAGGGGGCGCCCATGGGGAGTGGGGGACACTTTACAGCTCCTTTCACTTCTGCCTTTGCGTCTCTCCCCCTCTGCCCGGGCGGCGCTGGGAAGGGAGCTGGGCCTTTCCAGGTGTCTAGTTGCCAAGGCCTCTCTCTCCACCTCTTTCAAAACATCTCCTTTATCGCCCCTTCCTGTCACCATGTCACCGTCTCTGGCCATCCTCTGGCCTTGGTCCCTCCCTCCACGCAGGACGGTCTGCTGGGGAGTCCCCAGCACCCCGCGGGTCAGCCTGGCCACTCTCCTCCTCCCAGGCCACCGGGTTCACTGTTGACGGGCTCATTTTCATACACCACCTCCTCGGAGGCCGCCCGCCTCGGCGCCCGCCGGGCCCGCCCTTCCTAGGCCCGCTGCCCCCTGAGGCCCTTGAGAGGCAAGTGGTCCCACAGCCCAGATGCCGTCCTCCTGCGCTGCCCGCCCTGCTCGCTGCCCCTTCGCCCGCTCCCCCAGCCGGCCCAGGCTCCATCTCCCCCCCAGCTCTGGGCAGCACAGATCCCATCCCCCAGGCCTCGCTCTCCTGCCTCCGCCTCTCAGTCTGCCTGGCCCTCCACACCTCAGGAAGAGTCTCTACCATCAGTCATTTTCAACGATTAAAACTCAGTCTAAACAACTAGCTACGGGGAGATTTAAAACAACAACAAGATTCAGTTTAAGGCAGTTCAGAGGTGCAGATGACCGATGGGATTCAAGCTCTTTGCTCTTCTCCACGGCCCCTGACCCCCTCATCCTGCCCAGGGCCACGGCCCTGCCTAGGGGCAGGGCAGCATGGGGTGGGAGCATGGGGGTGGGAGCACAGGGTGCTGAGGAGGCAGGCGGAGGAGCGGGCGGCAGCCAGCATCAGGCCGGACTCTGCCCCTTTCCCTCCTTTTCAAGGAGGGCACCGCCCACCTCCAGAAGCAGCTAACCCAGAAACAGGCACCGGTGCATCTACCTGCCCCGCCTGCCAGGCTCAGAGGCAGTGTCCAGGAAGGACCGAGGCTCCCCAGCCCCTGCGAGCCCCCTGGCCAGGGGCCTGCTGTCCGCTGAGGTGCCGCCCACAGTCCTCCCTTGTCTTCTTATTCAAGCTGCACTGAGCTGGGTTTTTGTCTCTTGCCGTGAATACAAACCCACCTGCAAGCGTCGTACAAAAATACATTTCAGATGAACCAGTTAAGCTTGAAGAACAAAAGCATAAAACCAGTCGAAAATGCAGAGGACAATCCAGCTAATTTGGGGGGCGACAGACTTTCCTCAAAATCGCACAAAGTCTGGCGGCCACAAGGGAAAGGATCGAAGGACTTTACCTACAAACTACCTGAGGATGACAGACGACACCGAGGACAACACAATGGAAGCAACACACAGAAACAGGAGGCCAGAAGGAGCACCTGAAGTATTGCAGCATAAGTGATTAAAAAGGGTTCGTGTCCCTGATGTCAAGGGAGCTCCCACAGGAAAGAAAAATAATTTTGAAAAAGAGCAAGAGCACGGCCAGGCCATCCGCAGAAAGACACAAATGGTTCATAAACAGGCGGATCCTCACACTCGCCCGGGACCCAGGGCCGGGACTGGTCAGCGGAGTCGGCTATAAAAACACGAATCCTACCCAGTTGTGCCACCCATGGGGCTGGGGGGGGCTCACACCTCTCACAGTTGTGCTGTCTGAGGACCTGGTGGCACCTCTAGACAGCTAATGCGAATGTGTCCTTGTCGGGCAATTCTGCTTCCAGAAATCTCCCTAAGGAAATACTTCAGTGCCCGAAGGTAAGTGAAAAACGAAAGTGACCTATTATGTTGATAAGCTTCAATTGATAAAATACGTCCACCCATCCATCCTATAGAATGTTCTAGAGCTGTGAGAGAGAAGGAGGTAGATTTGTATGGACCAAGGTGGAATGATCTGGAGTTGCTTTACAAATCAGCCCGAGGAGCTGTGTGCGTGTGCCCACGCCCTCCCGCCCCCTCCCTCCCTCCTCTCTGTCCTGAGGGCATGTGTGACGTGGCGTGGCGTGGCGTGGCGTGGCCTGGTGTGGCATGGCGTGGGTAAACAGCACAGGCTATGGAACCAAAATGCCTGGGTTTGAACCCTGACCCTACCACCCAAAAGCAAAATGCATTTGGGTGACCCACTTTAGCAGCCTGTGTCTTGGTTTACTCAGAATCCTAAGATTTAGTGACCTGATAACCAGAAAGCCCTTAGCGTGGTGCCTGACGGTCTGCACTGGTGGGTGCCGCGGACGGGCGGGAGGTGCGGCCTTGGCCACAACAGCCCTCTTCCCCACGGCTCCACTCCCCCGGTCTCGGTCACCCGCAGTCAACCGAGTCTGAAAATACCACGCGCGGTAAGATGCTCTGAGTCCACAGTCTCGACTTGATTACGCTGCTTTGTTACAATTCATGACGTTCTATCTCATTACTAGTGATTGTTCAGCTCTTCCTTTGCCTCATCTATAAATGAATTTTTTTCCTAGGTATGAACAGGGAGAAACATCGACTCTAGAGTCTGGTACTATCTGCGGTTTCGGGGGTCCGTGGCGGGCCGTGGCGTGTATCCCCTGCGGGGGAGGGGGCGACAGTGATGAGATGTACGGGAATGTTCTGAGAGTGGTTACCTCTGAGGGCCAGGCAGAGTTAGGGGCTAACTTTCTTTTTTGGGGGGAACTGACTTCTTGTTTCACCTTTCTGTATTTAAAGAAACTTTATAATAGGGGCCTTCCTGGTGGCGCCGGGGTTAAAGACAGCGCTATCAAGCTATTGGCAGCCACTGCAGCACAAGTTCGATCCCCGGCTGGCCAGGGAGCTACCCACATAGCGCAGCAGACCTCTCCTGTCTCCCCGCTGCTCCCCTCCGCAGTGGATTTCAGTAGATCCGCCTGTTCTGTTCCCCACTCTCTGGTGAATCCTCTCACCCCCAGACCCCTGGCCTGTAACCCATTTCTTGTATGCGTAAATAAACAATAAATCTTAAAAAAAAAACTTTATAAGATCATGCATTACTTTCAAATTTTAAGAATAGCGAAACACAATCATTTAAACAACAAGTCTGGAAGGAAACGAGCTTCTGACTGCTGGAGGTATGGGTATCAGCAAAATGGCTCAGAAGACCCTTTTGAAGGGGCAGCCTGGGCCCTGAAACTGAAGCTGCCTCCCTAAGCGAGGTCTGGGGTCCCCCACAGGCTTCTCAGGGAGGGTGTGATTTTGCAATGAATGAAACACAAGCACTTCTGCAGAGAATGGCTTGCAAGAACTAACCCAAGCTGCCCTTACTGCGAACCCTGGGTCCCAGAGGGGAGCCTGTCTTGGTTTCTAACTGTGCCCCCTGGAGGCCCAGCCCCGAAGTCCTCACACTCCTGCCTCCATTTCCTCACACCCTCACGGTGCCGGGGACCTCAGCACCACTGACTCCCTGCCCCTTGTCTTCCTGCCCATCCTCTTCCCAGGTTCTTGACAACATTCCTAGCCCACCATTGGGGTGCCGCGGCGTGTCAGGATCCCCCAGTTCCCCGGGGAGGGGGCTTCCCCAGTTTACTCTCATCATGAGGAGGGGCTTAAAGGACTCCTACCTGGATGGCTTTGTGTTGGGCTCCTTAATGTAGGAGGACAGGGCGAAGAGGATGAAGAGCAGCACGGCCAGGAGCAGGAGCCGCTGGCCCAGGCGACCGAGTCTCCACAGACAGGCCCTCATGGTGCTGGGTCAGGCCCGGAGGACGCGCCTTCATGCCCCGGCTGAGGTGCAGGAAGCTGGATCCGAGCGCCTCTGGTCCGGCCACTGGGCCTCCTGGCCGAGTGCACACCCTTTGTCTGAGCAGCCACTGGTTACACGGAGGCTACCGGCTGCCAGCGAAAGGAGGAGCCACCTTCGCTGCCGTGGGAAGGCTCATAGGTTGGCGTGGCTTGAAGGAAGAGAAACTCCTGTTGTTCAAACAAGCTCACCTTGCTTTTCTGTGCCTCTGAAGCTAAGATCTGAGTGTGGAAGTTTACGAGAAACACACACACATGATATAGAGCTTCACCTTCCTCAGAGTCCCAGCCCTGGGGGACCCGTGCACAGCGGGGGGTGGGGGTGGGGTGGGGGGCAGGGGTGGGGGCGGGGGGTGGGGACGAGCCTTGCGCGGCCTCTGTGCTCAATGGGAGTTTTATAAGAAAGACCTGGAACCCCGATTAGGTGGGACTCCCTGGCAGTGTATGGATACCGCTGTGCAGCCATGGACTGAACCCCAAGAGCATCTCACTTCCGGGGTATCTGGAGCCGAGGCTGTGCGTGTGGCTGCTGGTGGAGTCCCCGGGAGCTCTGAAGCTGCCCGAGGCCCTGCATCTTTTATTTTCACGTGCTTCTGGCGATGATTAAATTTACTTTTATCCCTAGTATCTCTGGGGTGGGTATTTTTCCAGCCATGATTATTGTTCAAGTTTCCCAGGTGATTCCAGCTGTGATCAAGCTGAGAACAGGCACCGGGGTTGCCACGAAAGTGCCGAGTTCTGATACACCGAGCGCCGCGCAGAACCTGGCTGCAGGGTGTATGCCCTGGGAGCTTCTAGAGAGCTGTGATGTGCTGCCTGCCTACTGGGGCCTCAGACAGGCTGCTCGGCCTCCCTGATTCACCTGTGAGTGGGCAGAGCGGAGAACTCTACCACACGGGCTGTGACAGAGACGCTATGGGCAGCATCTTGGGCGTAGCGGCCCCAACATGCACTGGCCCTCGGGTCGGGCCCTCTCATCTGAAGCCCTGGCTGTGACAGCAGTGACCGCATGTCTGCAGGCAGCGATGGTGGGCACCGTGGGCTGCTCTGTGGGCGCAAAGGCCGTCCTCACAGCCGCACCAGGAGCCGGCACTAGTGTCAACCCTGTCCCCCCTCCCCCCAGCTGGACAACCGGCAGCTGGCCCAGGATCCGGGCTGAGCTACTGGGGGCCAGGCCCAGCGGGCCAGAAGACGTGCGTACCTGTTGCCTGGCGGAAGCCCTGAGAGACCACGGCCTCGATACAGGAGCTCGGGGCCAGCACCAGCGTGGGGGAGGCACAGCTCCGAGAAACATCAGCCTCAGTGCTCACGCTTCCGAAGCTCGGGCCGTCCTCCTTAGTGACCCTGAGGGCTGTTGGTTTTAAAATCGCCGCTCATGCTACATTGCACCTGCGGGTGTTCTCAAGCCGTTGAGTGGGGTAAGGAGGCTCCTCGGAGAGGGGCACTTGAGGACTCTGGTGTGGGGCTCATGGCACAGAGCATGTGCGTCTCTGCAGGCACAGCCTCCGATCCCACACCCCGTGTCCTTGGCCTTCGTCCAGGGCGTGTGCCAGTAACTGCCTAAACCACCTTCCCAGGGAGGTGAAAATCTGAAAAAGGTAGGAGCTGATTTCTGAGCAGCCGAGAGTAATGCAGAAGGCGCTGGGCTTCCTTGGCCCACCCCACACTGCAAGGCCTGGCGTGGAGCGAGGCCAAACCCCTCTGGGCACCGATTCAGCCTCTTCTCGGAGCACGCCGGGCTGCAGCGCTTCTACACCCACCCCATACACCTGCGAGCAGACCTGTGTCAAGTCATAACCCTGCCTTACCTGACCCTTTGCCCCACATTACCCTGCGCCCTGGTATCTGCGTTGCCAGGCAAAAGAGGTGTGTGCAGGAGGCGCCTCGGCCCGCAGCACTGATTTCACTAAGTGGATGTCCCTTTCAGCTCACCCTGGGTTTTGAGGAAACTGCGGGCCCTCCGTGTTCTCTCTCGATGAGTCCGGAGTTCATGGAATGCCCGGGGCAGCCGAGCTCACCGCCCCGCCCCGCCCCCTGCCCCGCTGTGCCTCTCACAACCCCCCTCTCCCCGTGGGGATGGCTGGCTTGGGAGCCCCGAGGCCAGCCTGTAGGGGTGCAGGGACACAGAGTTCCAGTTTCCTGGTTCGCAGCTGGCTGCCCGAGTCCTGCTGTCCTTCTGCCCCGGCAGGAGGTGAGATCCGGAGAAAGATAGGTGTGAGTGGAGACGGCCTTTCGGGACTTTTCCCAGTACCCCAGTCCTCGCGCCTGGTAAGCTCTACTTTGCGCTCCTGCTTTGAGCTTGAACTTTTGACTTTAGTCTTCCTCGTCCACCAGCCGGCAGGGTGCGTGCAGATAGTAGCCGTGAGAAGATAATTTTCAGCAAAGGGTCAAATCAAGCCTCTTATATGGCCAAGAAACGTGAACATGTCTTCCAGATTTTATTCTGCCCATGATGCAGAATGGAACGCGGCCGGTGCCAGAGGCGAGCGCGGGCACAGACAGTGCGGTGACAGGGCGAGGGCGGCCCCTCCCCAGGAAGGGGAAACCACAGACAGGCTAGAATTTGCATCTCTCGGAAAACTGAGCCATACAGAGTTTCCCTCTAGACGACACGCGCTCTCCCGCTGCAGCAGAGTGTTCGGGAGTGAGTGTGCCCGGGAGTCCCTCCAGGACTGGGTGCTGGGAAAGGATCAGCGGTGACTGAGGGAGCGCTGGGTTGAAGAGCAAGAGGCCCGACTTCTGAATAGCTTGTCGGAGAGGGTGGGCAACAGCACCACTGCCTCCACCCGGCTTGTCTTCTGATTCTATGTTCTCTGAACTGTTTTTTTGAACAGCCTGGTTGAGATGCAGTTTGTGTGCTGTGTAGTCTCCCCACTCAAGTGTGAAGTCATGGGACTTTAGCATATTACAGAGTCGCGCGACTATCGCCACAATCTAATTTTATAACATTTTCTTCCTGTCTAACAGAAACCTTATGCCCAGTGTTAGCCATGTCCTCTCTGAGCGACCTTCCTTCCCCCCAGCCGGAGGCCACCACTGACCCACATCCTCTCTCTAGATTTGCCTGTTCTGGACATGTCAATGCAGCCACATGGTATGTGGTCATTGGTCTCTATCGCTTAGCTTTCAAGATGTCGCAGTTGTCAGCGGTTCGTTCCTTGTTCGTGGCTGAATACTATTCCATTGCACGGAATAGTATTTTTTGTTTGTTTGTTTTTCACTCATTGACTCATTGACTCATTTTGTTTTTTCACTCATTGACTCACAGACATTTGGGTTGCTTCCACTTTTGGGCTATTATGAATAATGCTGCTGCGAACATTCACACATAAGTTTTTGTGGGATAGATGTTCATGTTTCTCTAGGAGAAATAATTACTGGAGGATAATTACTGGGTGCTAATGTCAACTCTAAGCCTTTGAGGAACTGCCAAACTCTTTTCCAAAGTGGTGGCACCTTCTTTCCTTTCCCAGCAGCCATGCCTGAGAACATCACTTTCCCCATGGTTGCCCAAAATTCACATTCTTTTATTGTAACCATTCTAGTGTGTGTGAATTGGTATGTCAGGCCTTTGATTTGTGCTTCCCCGATGACCCGTGATGTTCGAATCTCCATATATTTATTAGTCATTCCCATGTGGTCTCTGGAGAAATGACTAGTTAAGTCCTTTGGCCATATTTTAATTAGTTTATTTATCTTATTATTAAGTTATATATCTTATTATTGAGTTTATATATCCTGGTGAGACACGCAAATATTTTCTCCGGGTTTGTGGGTGTCGTTCCCCTCCGTGTTGTCCTCTGCAGCATAAAGTTCTGAATTGTGGTGGAGTCAGTTTATCAACCTCATCACCCACTTGTGCTTTTGCCATTGCCTCTGAGAATTGTTGCCTTCGCTGAGGTTGAAGTTTTACTCCGGAGTTTTCTCCTAAGGCTTTCATAGTTTTAACTCCTGCACTTCGATTTATGACTCTCTTTGAGTTCGTTTTTGTTTATGGCATGAGAAAGGGCTTCAAATTTGTGATGTTGCCTCACAAGTGTTGTACAGGTGCCCCTTGTAGAAAAGAGCATCTTTTCCATTGACTTGTCTTGGCCCTTGTGTCAAACAGCAACAGGCCATAAATCTTAGGGTTGACTTCTCAGTCTTATTCCATTGGTGTATCTGCCTGTCCTACGCCAGGACACGTTGTCTTGTTTCCTGCGACTTTGCAGGAAGTTGGGAAGTGTGAGTACTCCAGCTCTGTTCTTCTAGTTCAGATTGTGCTGGATATTTTGGGTTCTTTTTTTGTTTTTTTTAACTATTTCCTTTATATTTGTGAATATATTTCCTTACATTTCCATATGAGCAGTTTAGAGTGTGCTCAGGCCTGTTTTGTCCAGTGTATCTTAAATGTTGTATTCTTTCTAATGTTACCATAAGTGGAATTGCTTTCTGAGTTTCGTTTTGGGAATGATCGCTGTAAGTGGAAAGAAATACAATTGATTTTTCTATTTTGACCTTGTATCCTGCCACCCAGTTGAGGTCTAATAGTTTTTTTAGTGAATTCCTTGGGATTTCCCAGATACTAGGTCATGTCCTCTGAGGACAGAGATAGCTGTACTTCTTCACTTCTGATCTGGGTGACTTTTCTATCTCTCTTTCTTTTTCTTGTGTAAGTCCTTTAGCGAGAACCTCCAGGACCATCTTGGACACAGTGTGAGAACAGACACCCTTGTCGTAGCCCCAGTCTTAGCCTTTCACTTAGTGGAATGTCAGCTGCAATCTTCACAGATGCTGTTACCAGGGTGACGGGGGCTGTTCTATTCCTATTTGTTAAGTGTTTTCATCATGACAGTTTTTCTTTTAAACCATAAAGGTGTTTTACCATTTTTCCAATATTGGACTAGTCAAGTGATTTTTCTGTATCTATTGAGATGATCATATATATTTTTTATCCTTTGTATT